CCCAGGATAATGACAATCAATCACCGGCGGACAGCGCTTAGATAAATTACAAAACTTGCCAGCCTGCAGCAGCAGGAATCGGGCAATTACAGAGGGTATGTGTTATGAGTATGAATGTGGGTGTGGAGGCTTGGATGGTTAGATGTGTTTGGGTGGACATTCCCGGAAAATGCATCAATTAAAATTAAAGCTGTCGCATCAGCAACATGCAGCTTACAGTGCTCAGGGTACAGTATACAGTGGGCAATGTGCAACTCAAACCTGCAGTTGGGCCAAAACTTTGATTAGATAGGAGTGCATTGCACCAGGACACCGAGCACCGAGTACATACTGGCCCGGGTGGCCAGTTCTGGGCTGTGTTTTGTATCGCATCCTTCTATGTGAAGGGCCCGCATGCATGCACAATGTGCCGTACATGGCACCGGGCTTACGTGGCGTATGAAAATGCATTTTGGCAAAAACATGATTTCTGGCCCAGAAGAGGAGAGCGCCGGGATGACGTTGCACACAACGAAACCAAAGGGCAAACATTGCAGCGCCGTTTCCATCGGCCGACAATGCAAATAGGAAAGCCGGAAAAACGCAATGCACACACATACATTGCACACACACCCACCCGCACACACTCCACCTCCAACACACACTCGCACTAACACTCACACCCCCATTCAGCAAAAATAACAACGCACTGGAGGGAGGCCTATAAATTGGCAGCAAAAAAGGATTTGCCCTGGGTGGGTGCTGTGCTTAGGTGACACCCCAGACTTTCCAGCACCCAACAACCCATACCCTGTACTGTTCACAGGACAATGGACGCAGACGCGCAGGGCAAAGATGACATGCATAAATTGCATATCAAAGGTGCATCAGGAGCAGCATCAGCAGCCAGAATCAGCGGCCAGCGGGAGGGAAGCTTCCTCTGCAATCTATAGATTTATGCAGGCCTAGTCGAACCATGCCACATATAGTTATGATGCATAACCCAAAGCTACTTGTTTTTGCTTTTGCTGTTGCTGTTGCAGCTGCAGCCGATGCTGCCCTCTGGCCATGGACGGGAATGCTTTTTGTTTGTTTGCCCATTTCGTTCCCCAAAACATTTTTGATGAAAAATGATGCACTTGCCCGACTGCCCCGACCTCATACCCCCCGCACTACACTACATCCCCCGTGGGCCGCTTTGTTTTGTTTTGGAAAATTTTCAATTTACCGGCGTCCAGTGGAGCCCAAATTGGAAAAATGCCACGGCCAGGACTAGAGCAGCGAAACAGCAGAACTGCCATGGCAGCTGAGCCGATGCAACAGCACCATCTGAATAATATTAATGAAAATCAATACATAAATTCTCGCCAAATTTAGATTGTTTCGGTTATGTGTTTATTTTGTATTATAGTTACGTTTATTATGAAGCCATGGCGCTGTTCGTTTTTCGCCTGAAAAACGCGAGGACAACAATACCGGTCATGTACGTGTACTATGGTCGTATGTGTTCGCTTTTGAGAGTGAGTTCGCTTTTAATCTGGTCATGTGAATAGCCTTTAATTTATTTCAAATTAAATTGGCCGCTGCTGAGCTCCCCATTCAGCTGGAACTATAGATCATGGCAAGATGAAATTTCATCACACGAAGTCGCTTAATTTTATTGCAAGTCAGGGCTTTGATTGGAAGCAATCGATTGTAACCGAATAGAAACCTAAATAGTCAAACTTTTCAACACAAATATTTCAGATGAATGATTTTAATGCGAATGTTATACATTTTAGGAAATGAAGGGAAGTGTTTAGAGAAATAGAATGTTATGAATTTTTTCTGGACAATAGACTTTTAGGACAAACTTTTTCTATATCGTATCATATTCTCATAATTAAGCGATAATTCAATATACATTTTTATGCTATACATATTCTTTTATATTTTCTTAAAGAGTATCAACTTGCACCCTAATCAGAGTAATTCAATAAAAGCAATATTATTGGGAGCATATTAAAGGAAAAAATAACTCATACGCCCCATGGGCTGCAAAAACAGAATAAGCTGCTCATTTTTGTTCATTTTGTATTACTTAAGATTCAGATGTATAGATATATTTAAAGCATTATTTGATTAATTTTAAAAAACATTAGTCCTTGTTAAAATCCTAAATCTTTGTCCTTATCCTAACACTTAAGGAAAAATAGAAAATGGTACTTTGCTAAATCAAGTTCTTATTATGCCTATTTCTTTGTTAATGAAATCTCCTAACTAGTTTATTGAATATGTAATTATAAACCATATCCAAGATCTCTAAAATTATAAGAATATAATTGTAAGAATTTCCATAATGATCGATTTGCAGAAAAAAATCATTCATTCGTCCTTTGAATCGATACAAGTCCTCTAAACTGCGCCTAAAATTCCCACTGCCACCCACTTAGAAGCATCCAAAGCGGGAGGTTAGGGGCCACCCTATTCACTCACATCCTGCCTGCTGCTGCTGCTCTCTCGCTCGTCGTGGCTCTCTATCGCGCTCTTCCTGCGCAACGATGGCACTTCGGCTTGCTCACCAACACACCGATGCTAGCACGAAACACACACACACATACACGCAGGCAGCGGCGTTTTTCTAATGTCTGTTTCTCTTTCTCGCGCCTTAGTTTTAGTGTTTTGCATCTCGCTTTTTTGCTTTCTTTTTCCTCTGCTCACTGACACACACACACCCATACACAGATGGGAAACAAGGATGCTGCGCATGTAAAGGGCAACCCACCGCCCCTCTCCCTTTGGCTTGTACATAAAACATGGGCGTGTTTGTGCGGCCGACGCCGCTGCCGACTTCTCCGACGGCGCACCAAAATTTTGTGTACTTTTTTAGGATGCCAAATAGGGATACGCACAGATACAGATACAACTACAGATACAGACACAGATGCAGGACCTCCTCTATATACCGCACACACAGAAAAAAGGGAGTAAAAATGCATTCTGCCTGCACCAACTAAAAATGCGCACTGCAAAAAAAACTAGGGTGTGGGTTAGTGTGGGCGGGGGGCATGGCATAATGGGGGAAAACTGCATGCCTGCCATTTTAGGCAGCCATCATGGGTTGAAGCTGCAGCTCTAATGCATCTCTGCTGCCTATGCAGTCTCTGTTGCCGTCGCTGCCGACATCGACTTGGCTATTTTTCAATTTGCCACACCCAGAAAAAGTGCATTTTTCTACGACAGTTTTTGGCCATTTTTGCCCTGGCTTTGTTTTTTGTATTTTGTGTTTTGTTTTTGTTGTTGTTTTTATGGCATTCCTGTCCCTGTTTCTGTTTCAGTTTCGGTTTCGGTTTCTGTTTCTGTTTTTGATTTCCCTTCGCTTCGGCAACTGACCCACACCCATACCCGTCCCAGTCCCAGACCCAGTCCTCTTACTTGCCCCGTCTGCCGCTATGTACAACAAATATTCACTTGCCACTCTTTTTTCTCTATGTACCGTACATGTGGAGTGGCTGCATGTATGCAGGCCGTGTGTGTGTGGAACTGCATTCGGTTGGTGCTAAAAGTTGCACTCTATATGCACATTTTGTGTGCGTGGCCAAAGCCAATCGGGTGCCTGCTGCAGTTTTGTTCTGCTTACTTTTTCTCAACCTTCCATCCTGCCACCTACCACCCACCTCTGCCACCTTGGTCTCATCCTGCTCCCTCCCCCCCTTTGAGCTGGGCTGCTTCAACTCAAGTCCCATCAGGACCTCGAGTCCGGGAAATAGACTTCCACCCACTAGGACTTGACTCGAATATTCTCCAAACTTAAATAATTAGAAGCTCAAATTTGTTGATCAGTAAACGATGATGGGAAAACCATTTTGAATAATTGACAAAAAAGGACATTTGATAGTTTTGAGGGGTGTCCTTTCAGGGGCTATGCAATCAGGATTAAATTTTGAATTAGGTTTCTAGCCTTAAGAGGAACTTGCTTTATAAGAAGTTCCAGGACCTTTCAACTGGAAGTTTTCTTAATTTTTTAGATGCATTGAAGCCTATATTTTTTTTTATTAATATTTATAAACCCTTAAAGTATGGGTTTATACTTCCCAAAAATAGCTACCCCCTTCAGATACTGATTTGTCATAGAAATGTCAATGCCTCTTGTAAAGGGATCATTGGACTCTGTGCTATCTAGATGCAAATCCAAACAATGGGGGTCAAATGGAGCCAACCGCTTTGGAAAACACATTGAACCCCCAACAATTAATAACGAATTAAAAACCCCTGTCGGTAATCGAACCCAGGATTCTAATCAAACACATACAATGGCATCCCAGTCCAAACCAAAAAGTCAGACCAGAGCCGGGAGTCGTGGACTAAAAAAAGGATAACACAAAAAACAAAGCTGCGCCCACAAAGTAGTCGCTTGGCTTATTCGCATTTATAATATATATATTTTTTTCTATATCGTATGGAAATCCTCTCCCCGGGACTCCAGGACACCCACAGCCACACTCCCATATGTTCTGGCGGGTTGTGCTGATTTTTTTCGCGCGACTTTTGTGGGGGGTCGGGATTTGTATTTTTTTGCATGCTGCCATTTGTTTGTTTGGGTTGTTAGAAAATATATTTTTTGCGAAATTTACGACACGGCGGCCAAAGGAGAGAGTGGGGGTCGGGGTGGGGGGAAAGGGAAAGCGGATCCCGAAAAGAAGAAGCGGAAAAAAATATGCGATATGTGGACGAGCCAGGAAGGAAAAGGAAAGCGGCAACAATTTTTTCTATGCTGCTGCGTTTTGTGTTTTGTTTTGCTCCGTTCTGGTCTGGTCTGGCTTGGAGTTCCTTTTTTTTTGTATTTTTTTGGCGAAGGCGAAGGACGTTTGAATAACCTTGTAACCCTTTTCTCGCTCTCTCCTTTCGCCCATCGCCGTTCGCCTTTCTCCTGCGGTCTGTCAAAAGTGTGTCCTTTAAGCGATTTCCGCCCGCAGCCCCACATTAAATCGCATAGTTCACTTTCGGCCAAAAATATTGCCAAATGCTCCGCCGAGACTTACCAGCAATGAAGTCCTTCCATCCTTCAAAAGTCCTTCCATCCTGACAGCATCTTTCCGCCTCGATCACATCGCGTTCGCAGTTAAATCCATACTGATCGGCAAAAAAGCTCGGATCCTGGCAGATTCTCCTCCTGCTAGGAGGATTGCCTGCCAAACCAGTTTTCATCAGCGGATTAGATCAGAATTTTGGGTGAAAAAAATTCATTTTTCAACTAGACTTTTTCTTTTGTCTGACCAACAATTGATGACGAAAAGATCTTCGCGCTGTCTTCAAACTGGTTTTCTGACCAGCTACGAGCGCCTCACCTTTTTCACCCGGTTCACCCTTTCGGACTTTTCCCAAAACAATTTCGGTTAATAACCTTGACAAGGGTGCATAGTAGGGGAGGGGGAAGCCATTTGCCTGGGAACTAAAAAGGCTGTCAAACGGGTTTCTATTTCAACACCAAGGACATTGCCAAGCATTGAGAAGATCCCTAAAATTACAAACATTAAAAATTATTTTGAGATTATTTTGCAATCCTGCTAATGGGTGTAGCCCATTCCGTTACGGGACATAGCCTCTCGAGTCAAAAGTCAAGGGTTTGCGGATCACCACCCCATTAGGGGATGGGTTATCTGTGTCCGGGACAGGCAGCAACCCTTAAGCGTGTCCAGCACGCGTGCGCCCTCCAATTCATAGATTCCAAAATGGGACCCGAGGATTAGGCAGGGTCAACAATATGACGCAGATCAAAGTTCAAAGTGGTAGAAAATGGGGGCTAAATGATAAACCACTCTAAATATAATACAATATAATACTAAGTTTCTGGAAAAACTAGCTGTGATTAGACTCTGGGATTGAGTTCTTTTAATGCCATCCTATAGTTTTACAAGCAACAAATGTAATTTTCATAAAGTTATAGACCTATACTATGCCTTATTCCTTTATTGTGTTAGAGGTCCTTACTCATTCTCCAGGGCAATTTCAAAATGGTAACTTTATCGTTTACCCAAGGTTTGCCCGGCCTTTGTGGGCTTTCATTCTAGCTTTTAGTTTGCAATATGGAAACATCCAACTGCAATGCCCTGATTAAATATTTTCTGGAAATTGCTTCGCCCCAGGTCCATGGATAAACTTCATCCGCAGGATGGGTGGATGGGTGGTGCTCAGAGCACCGCAAGTGGAAAGTTTTAGTTTACGCTTTCAAAAATAATAATTATGAATATGATTTGAAGGTATTACGAGCTGGCAGCAACTTTCTCTAGCAGGCTCCCTCCGGCTGTGGTCCCTAGCCGGGCCAAAAGATTGAGTTTCCGCCCTGCCAGCTTAGTTGCCATGTTATTAAAATTCTAAAAATATATAATTTGTGCTCTGGCTGGCAGCCACCCTGACTCTGCCAGAGTCCTAGCTGCTCCTCTGACAGTCCTGGCAGCCATCCTTTTCGGGACTTTGGTTGCAGTTTTGGCAAGAGGTAATTTACTAGAAAATTTGCTTTGCAATTAGTGCAATTAAAAACGCTGTACGAACAGGGATTTTCGCAACGAACTCACTAGAGGTCCTTTAAAAGGGCTTTAAAATTTAAGTAAACTATGTATATGGAAATTTATGTTAGCCGTCGACAGCGACATCGATCCGGGTGTTGTCAAGGGGTTAACAAAACACAAGCCAAGTTAAACAAAGAACATTAATAAGAAAATCGCCTCGCCCGCGTCCTCGCCCTGTGTTAGTTGGTTTAGCAATTTGATCCGGCAATGAAATGGCAGCTCCGGCGAGGTCGTTACAGTCCCCCCCAAGGACCCAACTTCTTAATGTCATTAATTTTTTAAGCTTACTTGGAATGCAAATGTTCTGGACCTGGCCCTGGCCCTGGATCTGCTCCTGACCCTGCCGTATAAAAATGGCAGGCCATCAAGGAATCGCCGGCTAAATGGAGCGGGGAGCAGGAAAACGAAACGGAAAAAGCGGAAAAGGGTTTAATTGTTTTGGGGCGCCAATGAAAGGGACTTAGGATTGGTAATGGCCGGGGTCTGGGATGGTCAGATTTAGTTTCAAAACACACTTGAGCCTACGCACTGTGTATAATTAAAGGTCTCCCCAGGACGGTCTCCAAGGGGACGGGATCCTCCCGATGATTTATTGTTTGACAGACAGAAGTTCCAGACTGTGTGTTAGGCAAATTAGAAAGGGTTCTTGGCTGTCTCCGGCAGCTGGGGGATCACCTTTTCGAGTCCTGAACCACCGGCAGTCACCAGCGTGGCTCAAAATCCTTCTGGAGTCAGGACACTCCAAGTCCTGCCTCTCGGTCTGTTTGCTGTCACGCTGTCTAGCTATTTATTTATATTTAGTGTTATGTTTAATTTAGTAATGGATTAGAGTTGGACCGGCGAGAACAGGAGAAAGCTGTTCATTACGGCCAGTCACGTAGTGACTCTACGAAATCATTCTCTCCCAGGGGGGCGAAACCAAAGATTTATGATGATTCCTTCTTCCAGTACGGACCGGGGTATGCAAATGTTGAACTCATCCTTTTCAAAGTGACCCGAAAAGCCCAACTCGAAATACAAACAAAAGTTTAATGAAGCAGCACAACGGCCATAGATTGGTTATTATCTTTTAGTTTCGGTGCATAACTTTTTCACTCTGCATGTAAATTTTGTGCCACGCCTCTTGCCACAACAATCCCGAGTTTACAAAGCTGCCAGCACAGCGCCCTGATTTTACGTTTTTCGCCGAAATTATTTTATAATGAATGTTCGTATTTAGCCAAAGTTTTATGAATGGCTTTCATTACGGGAGTGCCAGCACAGTCGCCTCCCATCACACCCCACCATCCACACACCGCCGGCGGCTGTAGGATCCCAGCTTTTAGGACCAGCACCCTCTGAAGTGAACCACAAAAATATGAAAACCGCATTTATATTGTACATCGGGCAGATGTTTCAAAACTTTGTCTGTCTTCCTGTATTTTCCGGCACTAGTGTTAGTTCCAGGGAGATAGTGTGGGTGCTGATGGGGTGCCTGGGTGAGTGGTTCATATGGTAGTTCGCGGTGGTTGCGGTGGGTTTGGCCTGGCAGTGCTTTTCGGGGGCCACAGCCATATAGCCATGAAGCCCTGAAACAAGCCAACAGAACTGAAAGCCACCAGAAGTGGGCAACTAACACAGGCACTGATTTTGGTTGCCAACTTTTGTCAGAGTGCTTCAAAAGCGGAGCGAAATGAAATGAAATGGCATGGAAAGTGCCACAAAGGATGGATGCCAAATTGATGAAGAAATTAAAGTACCGTGGGGCCTATGTAGTGTGACTCAAAAATCCTCTATCCTGGCTTCCTGGGGTAGTCTCTTTCAGCCGGTGGAATCGTTGAAGCAAAAGCGTAACGAAGTCCTGGGGTTTCTAGCTTGATGACAACCCTTTCAAAAACACCGACTTGACAATTAAGTAAAATAAATGAGGAGTCCTTCGGAAGCCCGGCTACGTGACGCAGTCAACAGAAGATGCCCGCAACTTCAACAAAAGCTGGGTGGGCGAATGTGGCAAGACGGGAGGAAGGAGAACAACAGGACATGAGCAGCTTGGGGCAGTGGTGCACTGGCTCTGGTGGTTGTCAGCTAGTATTTGTGGCAGATTGTACCCCAAGGTACAGGACCCCCGCCTGCCTGCCCCTGCCGTTGGCAGCCATTATGGGTAAACTTATATTTGAACTACGAAAACACAACAAAGCAGCTACCTCCCGTTCCAAGGACCCATCCTCCACATCATCCCAGTCTCCACCCGCATCTGCTCCTCGTCCTGATTATCCTTCCGCTGCCGTCGCATGTTTGTGCGCAGTTGCCGAGGTCACTAATGTCGTAAGATGAATCCTTTCGGCAAATGCCTTCAGGGTGCAAAAATAAAACATGCTAAACGTAAGCCCTTGGCTCATCTCCCCCATATTTTGTCCTCTTAAATAGGACACTTAAAGAAAAACATCATAGAATCCTTAAGTCATATATTGGTTCTTTAAACACCCCCTTACAAAGTTCTTATAAGTTAGAATTCCTACCTAGATGGATAAAAGGATAAAAAAGGATTTAACATTTCTTGTTGAAGTGTATTCGATTCGGGGGATCATATTTTTCCAGTGTAGTCCATGTCCTGCTCAGCTTCCGCGCTTTAAATGTAGATTAGTTGTTGTTGTGGTGGGTGGTGGCCCCATGACCTCGCATCCTTTCCTCCTGGTCGTCGGGGAAAATAATGAAAACAGCAACTTTCATAATGAAGGCTGCCGTCCTTCGTCCTGGCTTGTTCTCGTCCTCTCCGGCGACCCCTCCCCGGCCATTCCTCCCAAGCAAACTGAGCTCAACTGAACCGTTTCTGTCCTGGCCGCTCGTCTCTTTTGAAATTATAATCTGCGCCATGGCGCCATCCAAGTCCTGAGCTCCGGCGCACCGCCTCCTCCTTGTTCTGTTCCTTCGTCCCTTTGGCTGCGTTTATTTAAGGACATGGCACTCGTTTTACACGCTTTTGCTTAGAACACTCGAGGGTCCGTGCTCCACCTCCCCGGGCACCAGGGGTACTTTGTTTTCCCGGTTTTTGTAAATAGCTACCAGTTTTCGGATTCCTACGGGCTCCCCGTCCGCTTTAACTCGGCGCCCGCCTTAAATTTAAATTTATTCCACAAATGTCCTTAGTCGACTAATTTGCATGCAGAAATCAAATAAGCTGCATGTTCACATAATGAACACACACAAGTTGGCAAGTTGGTAGCCAGAAGTTGGAAACAGGAACAGGAACTGGATGGAGTACTTTAGAGTGCTTCACTAATTACTTTGACGGACAAAGCAACTTGAGAGCAGAAATTTGAGCGACGCAAACAATGGCCTGGCAAATCAACATAAGCGAGAAAATTGAAAAGTTCAACTGGAAATTATTTGCCAACTGGCATCTGAAACTATTCAATTTCCTGCGCCCAGCCCGGGCCCGGGCCCAGGCGGTACCAACTGCCAAACAAATTCAATTTGCCACAAAACGGGCTGAGGACTAAGGTCCAAGTATTCCAAGGACTCCCTGGCCCCCAGCCCAGGGCAGAAGTAACTTTTATTGCCATCCCCT